TACGGGCCTCCTATAGCTGCTGCCAGGCCCCTAATCTGCCATAGGCCCCTATATACCGCCTCCTCATGCTGCTGCCAGTTCCAGAGTCTCTCATGGGTCCCTGTACGGCCTGGCCATTGCTGAATCTGTCCTCCATCGCCACACTCTGCCATGTGCCACTTTCAGGGGTCTCCTACAGATTACTGCCTCCCTGGTAGATTGTTGAATATTTTTGACATAGGGTGCTGGCATACTGGCAGCTGCTAGGCCTCCCTCTAATCTGCCATGGGCCCGACAGAATTGCTGTCTCCATCGACACATGCAGTGCACTGAATACATAGGGGACTATAGGGTGTCGCAGATTACGGGCCTACATGCTGCTGCCAGGCCCAGATCTGCCATGGGCCTCTATCTAGCCTCCTCATGCTGTGCCATAGGGCCAGAATTGCTGTACGGCTGTCTCCCATTGCTGCTGTCTCCATCGCCACACTCTGCCATGTGCCACTTTCAGGTCTCTCTCACACTGCTGGGTGTGTAGAATTTTTTGACATAGGGTGCTGGCAGATTACGGGCCTCCCATAGCTGCTGCCAGGCCCCTAATCTGCCATGGGCCCCTATATACCGCCTCCTCATGCTGCTGCCCAGGTCCAGAGTCTCTCATGGGTCCCTGTACGGCCTCCCATTGCTGCTGTCTCCATCGCCACACTCTGCCATGTGCCACTTTCAGGTCTCCTCTCACACTGCTGGTGTGTTTCATTCACAGACATAGGGCAGATTACGGGCCTGGCCTCCAGAGCTACTGCCAGGGCCAGCACAAATCTACTCATGGGCCCCACCTCCTAATTGCTACAGGGTCCATACACTAGCCATGGGCTGATATCAGGCCTCCTCATGCTGCTGCATGTCCAAGTCTCTCCTGGGCCCGTGTACGGCCTCCCATTGCTGCTGACCTCCATCGCCACACTCTGCCATGTGCCACTTTCCAGGTCAGACGCACTGCCAGGCCATCAGGTCTGTCACAAATGTGTGAATTTTGACATAGGGTGCTGCAGATTATCCTCCACATAGCTGCTGCCAGGCCCCTAATCTGCCATAGTGCCCCTTGATATACCGCCTCCTCATGCTGCTGCCAGAATTTTGTCCAGCCCCTAATAACCTCTCCATCTGCAGGGGTCCCTGTACGGCCTCCCATTGCTGCTGTCTCCATCGCCACACTCTGCCATGTGCCACTTTCAGGTCTCCTCACACACTGCTGGTGTGTTAGAATTTTTTGACATAGGGTGCTGGCAGATTACGGGCCCCATAGCTGCTGCTGCCAGGCCCCTAATCTGCCATAGGCCCCTATATACCGCCTCCTCATGCTGCTGCCAGGTCCAGAGTCTCTCATGGGTCCCTGTACGGCCTCCCATTGCTGCTGTCTCCATCGCCACACTCTGCCATGTGCCACTTTCAGGTCTCCTCACACACTGCTGGTGTGTTTGAATTTTTTGACATAGGGTGCTGGCAGATTACGGGCCTCCCATAGCTGCTGCCAGGCCCCTAATCTGCCATGGGCCCCTAATATACCGCCTCCTCATGCTGCTGCCAGGTCCAGAGTCTCTCATGGGTCCCTGTACGGCCTCCCATTGCTGCTGTCTCCATCGCCACACTCTGCCATGTGCCACTTTCAGGTCTCCTCACACTGCTGTGTGTAGAATTTTTTGACATAGGGTGCTGGCAGATTACGGGCCTCCCATAGCTGCTGCCAGGCCCCTAATCTGCCATGGGCCCCTATATACCGCCTCCTCATGCTGCTGCCAGGTCCAGAGTCTCTCATGGGTCCCTGTACGGCCTCCCATTGCTGCTGTCTCCATCGCCACACTCTGCCATGTGCCACTTTCAGGTCTCCTCACACACTGCTGGTGTGTAGAATTTTTTGACATAGGGCTGGCAGATTACGGGCCTCCCATAGCTGCTGCCAGGCCCCTAATCTGCCATAGGCCCCTATATACCGCCTCCTCATGCTGCTGCCAGGTCCAGAGTCTCTCATGGGTCCCTGTACGGCCTCCCATTGCTGCTGTCTCCATCGCCACACTCTGCCATGTGCCACTTTCAGGTCTCCTCACACTGCTGCTGTGTGTAGAATTTTTTGACATAGGGTGCTGGCAGATTTACGGGCCTCCCCATAGCTGCTGCCAGGCCCCTAATCTGCCATAGGCCCCTATATATACCGCCTCCTCATGCTGCTGCCAGGTCCAGAGTCTCTCATGGGTCCCTGTACGGCCTCCCATTGCTGCTGTCTCCATCGCCACACTCTGCCATGTGCCACTTTCAGGTCTCCCACACACTGCTGGTGTGTAGAATTTTTTGACATAGGGTGCTGGCAGATTACGGGCCTCCTAGCTGCTGCCAGGCCCCTAATCTGCCATAGGCCCCTATATATATACCGCCTCCTCATGCTGCTGCCAGGTCCAGAGTCTCTCATGGGTCCCTGTACGGCCTCCCATTGCTGCTGTCTCCATCGCCACACTCTGCCATGTGCCACTTTCAGGTCTCCTCCACACACTGCTGGTGTGTAGAATTTTTTGACATAGGGTGCTGGCAGATTACGGGCCTCCCATAGCTGCTGCCAGGCCCCTAATCTGCCATAGGCCCCTATATACCGCCTCCTCATGCTGCTGCCAGGTCCAGAGTCTCTCATGGGTCCCTGTACGGCCTCCCATTGCTGCTGTCTCCATCGCCACACTCTGCCATGTGCCACTTTCAGGTCTCCTCACACACTGCTGGTGTGTAGAATTTTTTGACATAGGGTGCTGGCAGATTACGGGCCTCCCATAGCTGCTGCCAGGCCCCTAATCTGCCATGGGCCCCCTATATACCGCCTCCTCATGCTGCCAAGTCCAGAGTCTCTCATGGGTCCCTGTACGGCCTCCCATTGCTGCTGTCTCCATCGCCACTCTGCCATGTGCCACTTTCAGGTCTCCTCACACTGCTGGTGTTGAATTTTTTGACATAGGGTGCTGGCAGATTATGGGCCTCCTATAGCTGCTGCCAGGCCCCTAATCTGCCATAGGCCCCCTATATACCGCCTCCTCATGCTGCTGCCAGGTCCAGAGTCTCTCATGGGTCCCTGTACGGCCTCCCATTGCTGCTGTCTCCATCGCCACACTCTGCCATGTGCCACTTTCAGGTCTCCTCACACACTGCTGGTGTGTAGAATTTTTTGACATAGGGTGCTGGCAGATTACGGGCCTCCCATAGCTGCTGCCAGGCCCCTAATCTGCCATAGGCCCCTATATACCGCCTCCTCATGCTGCTGCCAGGTCCAGAGTCTCTCATGGGTCCCTGTACGGCCTCCCATTGCTGCTGTCTCCATCGCCACACTCTGCCATGTGCCACTTTCAGGTCTCCTCACACACTGCTGGTGTGTAGAATTTTTTGACATAGGGTGCTGGCAGATTACGGGCCTCCCATAGCTGCTGCCAGGCCCCTAATCTGCCATGGGCCCCTATATACCGCCTCCTCATGCTGCTGCCAGGTCCAGAGTCTCTCATGGGTCCCTGTACGGCCTCCCATTGCTGCTGTCTCCATCGCCACACTCTGCCATGTGCCACTTTCAGGCCACTTTCAGGTCTCCTCACACTGCTGGTGTGTGAATTTTTTGACATAGGGTGCTGGCAGATTACGGGCCTCCCATTGCTGCTGCCAGGCACGTAATCTGCCATGGCCCCCGTACCGACTCCTCATGCTGTGACGTTGCAACAAGGTGGAATTCAACCCTACATATGTTAGACCGCCTTTACGAACAGCGAAAGGCCATCACAGATTTCCTGATGTTAAAAGCGGATAAAGGTACTCCCTGTGTAACTTAGATGTCAGCCATTGGCAGCTCATGCGTGACACCTGCGCTTGCTCAGGCCCTTTGAGGAGGCCACGCTATTCGTGAGTCGGCAGGACTATGGGATGAACGACGTCATTCCTCTGTTGCACGTCCTGGAACAAATGCTGTTAACAATGGCTGGTCAGGGTGCGGTAGACGTGGCGCACAGATCTCAACGCCACATGACCCCTGTGGGGGCAGGACAGGAAGAAGAGGAGGAGGTAGAGGAGGACATTGGTGCTCAGGAATTATTGAGTGAAATGGGTGGTTTTTCCACTCAGCGGACAGGAGTGGAGGAGCAGGAGCATCTGGTAGAGGAGGAGGAGAGAGACAGAGGACCCAGACGCACCGTGGCAGTATGCTGTGGAGATGGAGGCAGGGAGTCCCTCGCATTCCTTGGCACAAATGGCCCATAGCATGCTCGCTTTGCTTGCGTAGCGACAGCCGAATAATAACCATCAGACAGAGGGATGACTTTTGGCTGTCCACCTTGTTGGACCCTCGCTACCGTTCAAAAATGGTGGCCTTTTTCACACCTGCTGAGAGGAGGCCAAAATAACGTACTATAAAAACCACCTATGTAGTCAGCTGGTCTCTGCCTGTCTGCGCCAACGTCCATCCTCAGACACTGTGGGCCCTGTGCGCGCTCGCGTTCCGCTGCCATGGCAGCAGGGGAGGGGTGGGGTGGTAGGAGCAGTGGCAGCTCCACCAGCAGCGGCTGCCTCAGTCTGCAGTCGATGATGAGTAGCTTTCTTCACCAGCGCAGTGAGGAAACTACTAACCAGCCCCAGCAGCAGCAGCAGCAGCAGCAGCATCAGGTGGACCTGGAGCAGGACCTCAAACAACAGGCTTAGGCCTACTTGGACAGCACCCTGCCAACCGAGGTAGACATCCCCTTGACTACTGGGCAACGAAACTTGACCTTTGCCCCAACTAGCTGAATTTGCCCTTGAAAGGCTGTCATGCCCGGCCAGTAGCGTGGCATCGGAGCGCGTGTTTAGTGCGGCAGGAGGTATTGCAACTCCGCGGAGGACACGACTGTCCACCCAAAGTGTGGAGAGACTGACGTTTGTGAAAATGAATCAGGCGTGGATTAGTCTGGATTTCAAACCACCAGTTCCTGACACAACTGACTAAATCCGCCATGAATCATGCCCCAAACATGTGCCACTTTCAGGTCTCCTCACACTGCTGGTGTGTGTTCCATTTTTTGTCATAGGGTGCTGGCAGATTACGGGCCTCCCATAGCTGCTGCCAGGCCCCTAATCTGCCATGGGCCCCTATACCGCCTCCTCATGCTGCTGCCAAGTCCAGAGTCTCTCATGGGTCCCTGTACGGCCTCCCATTGCTGCTGTCTCCATCGCCACACTCTGCCATGTGCCACTTTCAGGTCTCCTCACACTGCTGGTGTTTCCATTTTTTGTCATAGGGTGCTGGCAGATTACGGGCCTCCCATAGCTGCTGCCAGGCCCCTAATCTGCCATGGGCCCCTATATACCGCCTCCTCATGCTGCTGCCAGGTCCAGAGTCTCTCATGGGTCCCTGTACGGCCTCCCATTGCTGCTGTCTCCATCGCCACACTCTGCCATGTGCCACTTTCAGGTCTCCTCACACTGCTGTGGTTTCCATTTTTTGTCATAGGGTGCTGGCAGATTACGGGCCTCCCATAGCTGCTGCCAGGCCCCTAATCTGCCATGGGCCCCCGTACCGACTCCTCATGCTGCTGCCAGGCCCGTAATCTGTCATGGGCCCCTGTTGTCGCTTGTTGGCATATTCCGCTCGTTCAGATGCTCCTTCTCCTGCTACTCCTCTTCACGGATTCCGTCAGCAGTCTTTCTTGGAATCCGTTTCCAAGAGACAACAGTTTGCGAGCACGCACCCGACGGTGCAGAAACTGAACGTCCTCCTGTCCAAGTTGCTGCTGCCAGGCTCGTAATCTGTCATGCGCCCCTGTACCGCCTCCTCATGCTGCTGGCTGCTGCCAGGTCCAGAGTGTGTCATGGGTCCCTGATACCATGCCTCCCATTGCTGCTGTCTCCATCGCCACACACTCTGCCATGTGCCACTTTCAGGTCTCCTCACACTGCTGGTGGTTTCCATTTTGTCATAGGTGTGCTGTATGGCCTCCCATTGCTGCTAGCCTCCACCGCCACACTGGTGGCTCCACACTCTGTTTTGGCCCCGTGTACTGCCCAATGAGTGAAATGTGCGGTGATTCTAAGATCGATACGGCACTCTCATCTGCATGTCATACTGACTGTCAGTATTATTTCTCTTCCCCACAACTCCAAGGGCATTTAAATTAAAGGTACAGTGTTCAGCACTAATATTAAGTCTCTCTGAAGCCTAGAAACTCCCTTTTATTAAGTTAAATTCACGAGCGAATATATTCGACTCAAATCGAAATTTTCCATCGAATTCGCCGAATCATCGAATCGAATTTTTGAATACTTCGCTCATCTCATTATATGACATATAGAAAGAAAACTCCACAAAATTTTTGGGTGGCCATCAGTGTTATGAGGCACAAAGAAGAACCCATAAAGAATATGACACTATAAGGCGATTTACTAAAGGATTGAGAATTGCACAAAAATTTGTGTAAAATATTTATTCAGTTTTGTCCAACGTGCACAAAAAAAAGGGTTTTCACATTATTGAATAAATTAAATAAATCTTAAAATGAAAATAAAGCTTTTTTTGTTTTTTTTTGTCATTTAAAACAACAAACATGTTATACTTACCTCCTATGAAGGGTTTTTTTTTACGAGCAGCCCCGATCCTCCTCTTGGTTCCTCCTGGCGTTCCCCGGGTCTCCCTCCGCTATGCCCCCCCATAAAAAGCCACTTTCATGGGCACTCGCACAGGCGAGATTTCCCAGCTGACGGGTTTTCATCTATTCCAGACACACCCTCGCTTGGTCCTGCCCCCCACTCTCGCTCACACTTTTGATTTGGGGCACAGGACCAATGGCTCCCGTCTCCAGCTAAACCTGGGAAAAGCATGGGGAGGGGAGAAGACTGTGTGGGGTTTCACAGCACTGGGCTGAATCAACTTTGGTGAGTAATTGGGGGGGGTGCATTAAAAGGTTTTTTACCTTAAATCAAGGGTTTTTAAAAGTCGTGAAAAACAATGTTTCTGGGCTATATACAGAAACCCGTTTTTTCCCAATACTGGATAAGTTGGTTATGTATGAGAATTTTTCAAAATGTTTGTGGCCTTTGGGCCAGGAGATTGGAGTGGAGTGGGGTTTTTTTGGTCCCCCTGTCTCTTAAATTTTCACCAGGGGTTTTCTATCTTGTACAGTATTGTGGCTGGCGGTTTTTTTTTTTCCCCTTTTTTGAAAAGGAGATTTTGGGTTTTTGCAACCTAGGAACAAAGACACGTCCAGTGCTACTTGCCTGACCAAAGTGAATCACAACGTCGCGAAACGCCGGGGAAAGGGTTTACTATTTGTTTTCTAGCTTGATTTTTGGCTTTGGGATAG